TCAGTGTGTAGCTCAACTTTGTTGGTGACTTTAGTAAAGGGCTTTCAACTTAGCACTCATACGAACCTGTTCCGATTGCTTGTACAGCAATCGAACGATTTAAACTTTCGAAAAAGTGAAAATTGGGCATATTTAACGATTGCAATTTATAACATAACTGATCGTGCCTGTAAAAGTGGCATGCAACTCTTGTAAACTTACCCACCTATACGAAATATAAATTATCACTATTAAATTTTTATTATGCCCTTGCGTTTAAATTGTAAGAATCCATGTGAGTGTTGTGTTCACGAAAACTCCCTAAACGTCGGAAACAAACTCCTAAACATTTCCCCATGCTCACTTTTGTGCTTCTACTAATTTATTCACTGTTTCACGTGAAACACATTATTTGTGTTTAAGATGTACTGCTTCAGTATATCATCAGATCTGTTCCACGGAAAGGTCTCGCCCGATTTTGGATTCTGGCCATATTTATGTCGTTGACAAACACCAGCTAACTAATGGATGTTGTTGTCCTGTTGAAACCGACATACACTCGGCATGACAGAAGTCAACCACAGATCTCACATATATAGTGTTCAAAGTTCACTCGATCTAGAGATGACAAATGTGCAGCACGATGTTGTGAAGAATTATGAGCGGAATCTCGTGTGAAGCTTTTGAGTTGTCGAAAATCGTTCAAAAAAATCAAGACCTTTGAAAGTTGTCAGAGAATCTGTGGTAATTAATACAGTGGAGAAAACTGAAGTACGCGGAAAAAATTTAAAAATCCAAGTTACACATTTCTCTCCATCATTTATTTCATATTCTCCACTATATTGTGGAACCGTTTGCACAGTGCATAAAATATATATGTTGAATTTCTGCAGCTGTTAATGAAAGCCGAGCAAATTTTACAAAGAATAAGTATACTGTGGAGGTTAATAGTGCAAATTATGGAAAAATGTAGATCGCTAATAATCATTAGGCTTACGTCTAAACAAAATGTCATGATCAGTCAGCTGTTGCATTCAGATTGAAATCAGGTCTATCAGAATGATATTATTAAGAATTCAGAGGACAGAAACATTGTTATTAATGTTCACAGTGTAAGTAACTCTTGAAAAAGGCACTAATCTAGTGAATTGTCTTATTCCTTCAAAGGTCTGCAAAACAGAAAGATGAAAGATCCGAGACGAAACCCGATAGATTCTTGAAACTTTAATATGCTCTGTTTTCGTAGGTCTGATAATGTAAAACAACATGAGGTTATTAACATTAGGTATAACTTTGTCACAAGGTGTGATTGCAGTGTGTTGCGCCACACATAGTTTTACACATGGAAAAATACCCCGAAATTTCGTCCAAAAATGATACATGGAACATTAAACAAAAGATGTTGGGCTTGGAATTACTAAAGGGAAACCTTACAAAATATTTTCTGTCAAGACGTGAGCTTTGAGACCAAGATGGAAGAAAAGTGTGGGAACCACTGTTGAACACCCTAGGTGAAAACCGAAAGTTCTTCGTTCTGTCTTTGAGAATAATAAGAGTCCAGTTGTCTCGAACTATTTCCAAAGCTTCAGGTGCCACTTCTGTGGCAGCATCTTCCTCACTCGTTCACATAAACAAGACTTGTTGGTCTACAATGTAATTGCTGTGGAGCCAACCATCCAGAAAGTACTAGGTAAAGCCGAAAACCTCTTCTTTTCCTTATCTTTTACCTTATCAGTCTTGTTCTTGTGGTTAGATACTGCTGCTCTCTTATTCGTATATAGCATAAGTCATAGTGATTGTTAATACGGCTGTTGAAAGCAGCCTTAGAAAAATCAATAAAACAGCATATTCTGCAGTCACAAGGGCTTCAGCCAGAGGAGGCAATAACCCACGAACATCAACTCTTTCCCGCAAACCGATCCTAAAGACTCGTGTAGGTCTCACCTGCTCTGATACTACGCCTGTATTGCCACAGTCTAGCACTGAAACGGAACAGGCAATACCAGGGGGACAGGATACTACACCTGCATCCACTGAAAGCCAGTGCGTGAAACACAGCAAAACAAAAAGGAAACGCCTAAGACATCATAAGACCTCGAAGGCGTCATCAAGGAAGGGAGACGAATGTCAGGCGTGTATTGTCATCGTTTCTAAAACTGAATCAGCATTTGAATGCAATTTTCGCAAACGATGGGTACACTGCCGTTGTGACAAAGGGATGTCGAAATCATACCATGAGTTTATGAGAAATAACCCATGCCCATGGTTTTGGTGTATCTTCCCACTTTGTCGCCCTGGCACAGTCCCATACAGTGTCTCTGCGGATAGCAGAAACAACACGCCACTCTTTTGTCTCAACTCAGTCTCATGCAGCTACCCACCTGCTAACATCACACTGCCAAAACTTGGTACAGACAGTAAGAAGGACACTCCAGTCCAACTGACTGGAAATGCCAATCTTAACAAAGTGAAGAGTTCCAAGATTGCACCCATAACAACACGGGAAAGACAGAATTGTCAAAGCACCACTTGCATCCACTAGCAAGCATGGTAACACAGCGAAGGCTAGTCAAAACTAGATGAAGCCTAAAGTCACTAACCCTGGAAAGGAATACAAACAGCCAAAGGCCAAATCCAAGTCTGAGGTCAGTCGGTCTAATTCTCTTATCATTTTTAGTGTACATGTGAGCAAGGATAGCTTGCTTGAACAACGGACCCTGTTTGATCAGGAACAGTGGTCCAACTTGTGCAATAAACTAGGTCTGAATATTAGTGCAACGAACTTGTGCAGGCTGTACAGGGTTGTCTACACGCCTCAGGGTAAGCCACCCCCACTAAGGGTTACACTGGACTCTGCCGAAGAGGCCGAAAGAATATTATTAATGGCTCAGGTACTAGCCATCGACAGAAGTTCTAGCATAAGGGTGAGACATGACAGACCATGGGCTAACAGACAAATGGCGAGGGAGTCACCGGAACTGATGCCTTCTACCTCTATGGTCGTACACGATGATCCGGAGCTGGAAACGGGCACTGCTTGTGAAAAACACATGTATGACATACAGCAATGGAGATGGCTGTCATCTCACCTGGCCCTTGGTGCTTCTGGAGCAATCTCCATTTTCTGGCCACCTCGCCCCACTCATCTCACACTGATTAGTTCTCCAAGACTGCTAAGTGTCACATTCAACTCCCCGGAGCAGTTGGCCAAAGCACGGTGGTATGAGACCAAGGGAAAAATGGGAGGACACATCCAACGCTTCGAAAGCAGACCCCGAACCATAAAGAGGCAACAATCTGAGGTTTTAATACGTCCCCAAGCCTCAGTGACACTAGAGCGATTCAGTACTGAGAATAACAGTCTGTGTCACCCAAGTGTCCTACTTGAATCCATGGAAAAAACCACAACGGGCCGGTTCCAAGGATGAAGATAGGCAAAATGCCATTAGTTATAGACCAGTAGCTCTACTGCCAGTGGTATCAAAAGTACTGGAAAGTATTACTGACGATCACATCAGGGAATATCTCTATAGGTCTAATATACTCCATGAAGCCCAACACGGTTTCAGGAAAGGGAGATCCTGCGTTACTAACTTACTATCAGCTTGGGACGATTGGACATCATGCTGGGATATGGATGTCCCAGTCCATGTGGTCTTCCTAGACTTTGAGAAGGCATTCGACACTGTTCACCATGACCCACTCCTACACAAAACAAGCCAGGCAGGTATATGTAAGCCACTTCTGTCATGGTTAAAGGACTACCTAGCTGAAAGGAAATTTTGAACTAAAGTCAATCGAGTCCGACCATCTTGGCACAGCTCCTCATCTTGAGTGTAGCAGGGTTTGATCCTAGGACCACTGGTATTTTTGATCTTTATCAATGTACAACGTCGGAGGTCTAGTTCTAACGGAAAAAATGGACACAAGCGTAAATTACACGGCGGACGCAGAAAGGGCATATGCGGTCATACACTTTACACATAGACAGTTGGGTGCACTCACTCCTGAGCTCTTTCTAAGGTTGTATAAAACATACGTCAGACCGCATCTTGAAGTGTATAATATCATTGCACCCCCACTGCTTAAAAGAGACGCCAACCTCTTGGAAAGAGTCCAACGACGGGCAACAAAAGGAGTGGTTGGTTTCCGAAATAAACCATATGATGAAAGGCTAAAGAAATTAGGCCTACTCACATTTAGCTGCCGTCGGCTTAGGGAGGGGGCTTGATTACTGCCTACAAAATAACGAATGATCAGAATCACCCAAATAAAGGTGTTCTACCGCTGAGTAGGTATAGGCTTCCTCGTGGAAATCCCAGAAGGACAGCTCACCAGAGGGCAAGGAACTCAGTGCGCTCTCACTTCTTTTCACTGAGAGTTTGCCGTCCCTAGAATTCCTTACTGGCAGATGTAGCTATGGCACCGTCTGTTGAAACCTCCAAGCGAAGGCTGGACAATCATGCAGTGACACAAGGACTGCGTCCAAATGGCCTATCCCCTTAAAATCCCATACACCATTCAGGGGTAGACAACTAATTTCGTTGTTTTACTTCTTCACATTCTCTCCCGTCTCACTCTCCTGACAACTCTAACTACACTTATTATTACTACCGATATGTATACATATGTCAACTTCAAATTTAATCAGCAGTCAGTTTTATCCGTTTTCTTTATTTCTTTTTCGGTCTGTTAGTCTGAATACCTTCACTAATTATGTCTATCATTATTATTATTTCTTTCCTTTTGATGACGATACCGGAGGACTAACTGGTGAAAGGATCGACTCCATTCACAGTAGTAACAGTCTTAACACACCTCATACTATAAACCAAATATAATTAATCCCAGCACTACTCCTTTTGGAGTCAATCAAAGCTACGATAGTCGAGTGGTGAAACGAGCTACGCAGAAGTTTACCGAAGATCAGGAACCTTGAACTCACAATCAAGAGGCGAGCACAAAGAAATCAAATTGGTTTATACTGGCTCGTAAAAACGATATTGGATATTGTATATAGTTTAGTTAGCCTTGGTGTGCATTTAATTTTCAAGGACATCTATCGTTATTGTCGTGCAATTACTTGTGAGGATTAATTTTGACTTCAAGAATAGACTTTTGTTTTTAAAAATTTGTGTTGCTTAAAGTGTTAATTGTCTTCGTGTACACTGATGCAAACGATTTGAGTTTTATTGTAATAAACTTCTAAAAGTTGACGGAACTCCACTGTATTCCATGTAATAATACAAAAGAAAAGTAAAATTAGGCACGGAAATACATAGTGCTGTTATTATAATCCTGTATTGACCTTAATTGACTGGTTGGTATAATCCATAGGCTTGAATCGGTCATGGATCGATTTTCCCAGGCTTATCGTATTCGATAATGCTGAATTAAATCTCGCAAATTCTGAAATAACTATGATGAGTAAACTCTGACGTTTTGTTCTTTGTACTGTTTAAAACCCCTGTGTTGTTTTTTGTTATTGCTTGTCAGTCACATGTCTTCCAAAATATTAATATATTATTTTTTACTTTGTCGAGATGTTGGTGACATATATCGGCTAAACTGCTAATGAATTATTGAATCTACTAGGAATGGTAATGGCTTATAATTAAAGCAACGTAAATTCAGCATAATAAAAACAGCTATGATGTTTATTGGAACTCATACATGTACCTAGCTTCATAAAATTTGGTGGACATATGAAAGCACTTAAAGTTGTAAGACTTGGTTTTTTGACTAGAAATTATCCTTTTTGCCAATATACGCAATAACATGGTTTTATGTTAACTAAAAGGACTCTTATACATTCCTGTGTTTTGCTCAACAAGGCCCAATTCTCTTATCACAGTAGAATTTACCCGTCGCCGTGCCGTACGAACCTTTGGTCAAACACAATTTAGTCTCCCACCAAACTGATGGAGATTAAGAAAATGAGATTCGAAATTTTGACTATAAATAATCTAACTATGTATTTAGATAAATTTATGAAGGCCTGCTTTCAAATTAGAAACACTTGTTGGGTAATTACAGGTTTGTAGTCGGCTTTGGAAGTACGTGATAAACTTTAATTAGTCTAGGATGTCCACCCTTTCTGCTAACCGAAATTAATTTGTCTCCAGAATTTTAAGAACTTTGAGGAGTGAATTCGTGTACGCCATTGTGAGTCATTTTGACAAATTTTTCAGTGTCTAAACATTGACCATCAGCGTAACATTCCATATCAGACGGTCTATACCTCTTTATACGACTTAGATTAGCCATCAAAGATTTTGCAGGCGGGTAGCATGTTCTGGTTTGGTCGACACTGATATTTTCCAAATTTAATCATACATGAGCCAACATTATCTATGCCGATCCATAACCTCCTAAGCTTGACTTGTTTGCACCTTCTCTCAGCATTATTTAATCTGAATCCCTCCCCACCAGCCCAGTGGAATAGGCTTTTATGATTATAGACTTGCCATCCTTTCTAACTGTGTTTTCAGTAGTCGTGCTTCACAGTCGTAAAGTTATATTGGACGAACTGCTACTCAGTAGACACATCTTTGTATATTTTACCACAGGCCCTTCAAATGACACTGAAAGTAGAGTGTTGCGTCTGAAAAATAACTGACTTGTTGTAGCATAACTGTTTAGCTTCTTAAGAGAAAATAAAGTACCTAGTGGATTTGCTTGTAACCAGAAGAACTGTTGGGGATGTAAGTTACGCATTTCTCATTAAAAACGGTACTTGTGTTTCATTTTTATTGCACTGAGATTTATAAGCTCAGCGTTGATACTTTTATAAGTGGTGCATTAGATCAGTGTTACCAAGGCTTCTAAAATAAAAATGTAAGTTTTCCAAGTTATAAAATATGTCACCATTCTCTCTGAAGTTACTATAGTATTTTTTATCACTGTTTATTACTTTCACCCTAAGATTTCTCTTCGCTAGTACAGATTTAGGGATTTCAGAAAAAGTTAGCTAAACTGATTTGTAGTGTTTTTCTATACTGAAGTCAGACTTCTTCAACTGTCTCTTGTACCTAAAAGAAGTTTTCAATTTACCTTCACAATACTCACGTTTTCACTCCTTCAAAGCTGCTTTCCTTCGACTAATGTCCTGGATTCAGATACATTTGCTGAAGTGTGTAGTCAGCTCCGGGAGACAAATCAGTTTTTCAACCACAAATTCATCTTAATGAAAGCCATTTAAACTTACGCTCATGTCAGATTATGAAAGCTGCTGATTGATATGATGATATACAGCAGTAACTATAGGTTTTCTGTCTGTTCATACAGGCCATGTTATTGTTCTGTGACTTCACAAAAGATGTCAACCTTATCTAGACTTACTTCATTATATTAATCCACACGTATAATTACAGTTTCCGTTTCCAGTGTGTATTCATTCTTTACATTTTCAGGCTAAAAGCACATCTGCCCATATTTTGGGCCAATTTCAAAAGCCTCAATTCGACTGGTTTCACCAGACTATTTGTCACGAATTATATTGTGGTAAGTGCGGGTGTGGAACTGAGTGTAATTTTAAAAATATCTCTTCTGGTAACTAAATAACAGGTACTCTATCATTTTAGCAATCGCATAAAATAAATTACTTTCATTATTTCAGGTGTTTGCGTTTGTAGAGTATGAAATGACAATTGTTTAAGTCTTTTTTTAGTTTCTTGAAGTTTCTAATTGAATTCACTTCTGTGGAAGATCAGAAGCTTTCCGAATTCTGAAAATGAATGTAATACATGTACTTAGTTAATTGTTTTGTTCTATATAAATTGTCTTTTATTCTACCTTACTTTATTCTCTTTTGACTTCTATTCTTTCTTTGTTGCCCAGTATATTTTCCCTGCATGAAGTTTGAGTATACAAATGAAGATCTTATTTTACAGTCAAGTGATACCTTGTCTAAAGTAAGAAAAATTCAAGCCTTTGTTCTAATCTAGTTTGATAAAACTTTGGAATCCCTATGGGTTGATTCTTATGAAGGCAATCGTTTTCGATACAAAATTGATTTATCAATGAAATCATTGAAAAAAGTTTCTAATGGCGATATGAATATATTAATTTTAGTAAGTTCAGTCAAATAATTGTTTACACTTCAGCCTAATGATAATCGTTTCAGCCAACGACGCAAACCACAACCATTTAATGATACTGACGACCAAATTGCCCCAGAATCCTTCAATTTTAATAAAGTTTCTACTGATGAAATTTTGTTAGATATTTTTGAAAAACAGAGTACAGTAAGTATATCATAATTAATTAAGTTCAGAAATCTTCTTTTATTCTAATAAACGTCAGTCCCTTTTCATATTTGCACTCTCTTTTGGTTCCAGAAATGGAAGAATGCTACAATCAGGTAAAATAAAAGTAATTTCTTAAATTCCTATAGGTTTTAAGAAAGCAATCCCTTTACTTAGCTATCAAGTGTTTTCTTCTAAGTGCCAACAGGTTAGTTACTTATTTTAGCTTTTTTTCTGTAACTTTCTTAAAGGAACTGTAAACGAAAAGTGTATTGTTCTTATATTATTAGTAATGGGATTATTATTACTTGTATTGTCTGGGCATAAATTAAGTTTTGTCGGGCTGTTTACATAATTTAAAATCTGTTCTAAGTTGGAGTTAAATAAGTTGATTCTCTGGTGTTTGACCTTTTTATCAAGTTACTCCATGTATAAAATCTACTAGTGAAGTGTTCCCTCATCTTAGCATTTATTTCTGTGAGAAAATCTTCATTTCTTAAAAATGTTATCAGTTATCAAACCTTGTTAGCTACAAAATTCATGGAAGAATTTTAGCATTAAATCATATTGAAGCATGTAGTAATTCCTGTGTCTTTAGTAAATCAAAGTAATATAAAGTTCAACGAAGAAAATTCTCTTTTCGACGATTTCATAGCTATACAATCGTATATATATATATATAATAATAATATTCTTTAACCGATCACAGAATGTGCGATTTCGGTTTACATCAAACGACATGAAATAGAATGTTCAAATATATATATATATATAGTATTGAACTATGGGGAATATGTCAGAATAATATTCCGTTGTCACACTGGATTATGTGCCACAATCGATTAGATATATGAATGATTAACTAAATAAATAAATACAGGTCAACCTAAAGTTCAATAAACATGTGTGAAATAGATGATTGGAAAATAAAGTACATTTAGGAATGTGAATATGTGAATATCATATGATGTAAACATAGAATGAGTGAAATGTTGTCAAAATAGTAGACTAGATAAACTGTTAGAATATGATAACATAAAGTAAAATGGAACACGGAATAAAGAAGGATAACGAAGTTGTTATATGGATTGCATAGTAGAATCAAGACGATGGTAACGAAAGAGATCGTACAAATAGTTTTTGTACACAAAATTTTGGCTTTATGTTGTGTATTGCCAATACTTAAAAATCGTCTGCCGAGATGATCGAGAAAAACGTTCTTTTCTTCCACCCCTTACGAATAACCTACTCTAGCCGTCCACTGGTGCACTTTAATGTCGATTGTCTAATTCCATATGTATTTATATGTTCACCTGCTCTTGCAGAGCTAGGTACATAGGATGTTCGTCAAGAAACATACCCCGCCGTGTTCGACAGCACCTCCCAGTTTGGCTGAGCAAAGGAGAACTTAGAGGTATTAATTCATTGATATTGCAACATATTGTAGATACTGACCACGCAGCATCTGACACATCGTTTAATACAGTCTACAAAGTCCGGCAAAGCCTGTTGAAAGGAACACAAGTGCATTTGCTTTGTATAGCAGACGCTTTGGCAATATATAACATAAAGCCAGAACTTTGTGTACAAAAACAATTCGTACGATCTCTTTCGTTACCACCGTCTTGATTTTACTATGTAATCCACATAATAACTTTGTTATCCCTCTTTATTCCGTGTTCCACTTTTGTTCTACTTCATTTTACTTTGTGTTATCATATTATAACATTTTATCTAGTCTACTACTTTGACTACACTTCACTCGTCCTATGTTTCTATCATATGATATTCACATATTCACATTCCTAAATGTACTTTATTTTCCAATCATCTATTTCACGCATGTTTATTGACCTTTAAGTTGACCTCTATTTATCTATTTAGTTAATCATTCATATATCTAATCGATTGTGACTCATAATCCTATACACCAATATTTAAGTATTTCCACTCACTGTCAAACTTTAACACACACACACACGCACAAGAAAGCTGATTGTTATTGTCTTTTGTACAGCTATGAAATTGTTTGCTTTTATGTCGCAGTGGGGATTATTAAAGTTATTATTATTGAAGTTATGCAGACCGCTGTCAATGTTTAACACGCCCGTCTTAATTTATTTAATCGTAATGCCTTAGGCAGTAAGTAAATGTAAAATTAACACCGGAAGTCTTTTACCTACTGTGTAACTATCAGGGTTCTTATTACAAAGTTAATCATCACCCCCAATAAATTGTGAATGAAATTAACAACTGACCTTTGTTGTTTAAAAATTTGGATCTTGGCCAGATACCTTGTCAAATTAGAGGCTCAGATGTTTAGATTCAATCAGAACAAAGTTGCTTTTTGTATGCTGGCACAAATCATATAGGTCGGAATATAAATTTAAAATATGGCGTTATTTTTGGAACAAAAGCTTATCCTGTGACAAAGTCAAAGAGTTGACCGTTAACTTAGTCAGGCTACGATTGACTCCTTATGAGGCTGACTACCGCAGACAAATCTTTCATCAAATGGCAACCAATGAAATTGTCTGGTTTTGATTCTATTATTCAATACCTGTCGATTAGGCATTCCATTTATTCACTGAGTTAAACAGTGCTAAACTATTGCACAATATGTGGCTTGTACAGCTGACAAGACAGTGAAATTTTTAAAAGCGGAGACACGGATTGAGTATCAAAGGGGAGCAATGAAGACCCTTGTGAAACAATACAGAGGGCATAAAATGAAACCAAAAGACACAGACATGAATACTTTTTGCAAATTGGAACTTCAGTGTGAAATTTATGTATTTCATGAATAATTCCCCTCTGGATAATATTGAAAACAAAACACAGTTCAGTGAAGAGTCTCATTCAACTATTTCTACTACCATGGCTACAACCTCGTTGATTTCTACTGACCTGACTTTTGTTGTTTGTTTTTCTAACTCCTTATAGGTTATGTATTTCTTCAGAACTCTTACATAATTCCATAATTTCCCTCATCTCGATGTGCATCCTGATTACAACTCATTCATTAAATCATTCATCTTAATACATAGCTTTAATACACTTGTTCAAATCCACTTATGCATTGACTAATATTAACAACACTGATTTTTTGACAACTCCCAAACTAGGATGGAACATCTGTCCAGTACTCCCAGGTTTTCCAATGGTTCTCTAATCGATGTCAGCTCATGATGAAATACTGTAACCACTCACTCTAATCCCTACAAACCAATATTTGAATTACGCCCAAGTAATTTGACTGTCAGACACTTTCAGAAAAATCTGTGATATCGGTGTACTCTGATAGGCTTTTCATAATCACTTATTGCTTCGATTTGACATAAGAGATTAAGTACCACTTCTAGTTCCTACAACGTGTGTTTTTCAGCCCAAATGTGCAAACTTATTACGTCTCTTTTCGTTTAAATTTGGTTTATAGATCTACTTTGTTTTACAGAGGCTTAGAGAAAGTATAATATAGTTGGATTCTGAAGAGATTAGTTCATTCTGAGCAGTTGTTGTATCACAGAACTATTCTGTATCACATCCATAGTTTACCGTAGTAGAATTCGTTTAGCTGCAAAACCACTCTATTAACCCCCCCCCCCACGTTGTACACAAAATATTGTAGTTTACTTTCTAGGTTGCCTTTTGTCTAGTGCTTAATAGCCCTCACTGCTTTCTACTAGAGTTTACTGAGATACTTGTTTCAGTTATCGCTGACAAATCATTCAACTATGTAGTCTTCTTAGTATTGTGTAACTGTTCCTTGTTTCGTAAATTGAACTGCTTTTACAAAAACCTCTCACTAATTTTGCATTTCTATATCAGATGTATGCAACTTTTATACAGTTTTTAAAGTTTACAAGTACTACTACTACTTGCAACTGTGCAACTATTCATCACTGACGTTTCTCCATCTCATTAGTCGGAATTGAATAATCTCCACCTATTAATCTTATCTAGGATCAAAAGAATTATTAAAAAGACGGTTGCAGTGAAGAAAATTTTCTTTTCGACGAAATCATCAACTAGGCTGTCTATTCGTGTATTTACGATAAATGGGTGGGAAAGTTCCAGAATAATTTGAGGTTAAGGGTCAAATTAATAAAATTACAATTAGGAATTAAAATGCTATAATAAACAGGAGGACGGATAAAACTCAAACAAAGTAAGTAGCATCATAATTACTGAGAAGATTGACATATTGTGCAATTGGGGGTATGAAATGTAGAAATAACATGAATAAACAGGAAGTTTGGATAAGAAAGGCAGTGGGATGGTCATTACTAAAAGAATTACTTGTTTTTGATGGCCATGGCAGGGACAAGGGTTGGACGTATTTATTTTGGATACATAACATGGGTTTGAGCTTTTGGATAACCAGTGCCTCGGCTATGCCCAGATGCCTTAATTTCACTCCCTTTGATAGGTTTGATCGAATCTTGTATATTATTTTGAAGGATTTTTCGAATGGTGCTGAATGTCCTGAATTGACCAGATGTTCTGTCACCGAATTATATACACGTTTTCGATCTCCTTTTACTAGCCAGGCTGGATAGTGTTCACGAGTGCGTTTTTCAAGTTGGCTCCTGTCTATTTTGTCATTTTATTATTTCTACATATCTAATCGCTGATTGCATCAACAATTATTCCCCACATTAGTTATGGTCCCACTAGATTTTTTATCCAAACATCCTGTCTATTTTTGTTATTTCTACATTTCTAACCGCCAATTGCACAATGTGTCAGTCTTCTCAGTAATTATGATGCTACTTTGTTTGAGTTTTATCCATCCCCCTGCTTATTATGGCACAGTGGTCAGGACTCTCGCCGACCATGCACATGGTCCGGGTTTCGATCCCCCGCCGACGCACACCCGATATCTATGGTCGGCCTGTAAAATTTGTGCTACCGGTATTCATGCTGAAAATTCCATACTTGTACTGAAAATACGGTGTGGCATGAAGCTGTAATAAAAATAATTGTAATTTTATTAATGTGACCCTTGACCGGAAATTATTCTGTAGCTTTCCCACCCACTTATCATTAATACATTTATCATAAATGCGTGAGCTCGCCAATATTATAGTCGAGATACATAAATTCCTGTACAAAAAGGGCAAAGGCCGTACTATCAGACCCCCTGCACCCCCTTTATTCACAACTATCCCCTTGCATCTCATCAGTTAGGACGAGAAGTCAATATAAGAAGTTATATGCTCGCACCACTAAGTACAAAAGTTCTACAATACCCTATTTAGCCCGTATTTTATGTGATGGAGACACTGTTAGACGTGAAACATATAAGTTACTATGTAATTAGCAAAGTGAATCGACCCTTTCATCATTCATCTTTCTGTAATTTTATGGTGTCACCCTTTCTATCGTTTAATTATAACTTAGCGATTTTATTTTAGTTGTCATTACTATTATTACCACAACTTTATACTTTATGCATATTTTTCCCCTTATCGCATACTGTAATTTGCTACATAGCTGCTATAAAAACTTTTTGTTATTATTATTATGTAATGTTTATTTTTTTGTCATTTTGAGTAAATTAGATGCAGTATTATACTGAATGCTTAAAATTCCTTACTGTATCATTATACTGTTTTTGGAATAAGGCAAAAATTATTATTATTATGTACAGCCTAGTTGATGACTTCGTCGAAAAGAAAATTTTCTTCGCTGTAACCGTCTTTTTAACCGTCACTGAGAATTTCATAAAACAATTTAATCTGATTAACTTCTCTCATCTTTTTCATTGCTTTATAGATATTTGTGTATGGGTTTTAACAGTCTATTGGCTCATGCTTCTGTGAATCATATGCATTTCCATTTTTGGCAGTCACCAGATTACTTAAGAGCTATGTCCACAGTAAGTTTATTTCATTTAATCAACTAGGACTACACATTGATTGGTCACGTGTGACCGGTGTTAATTATTATTATTATTGTTCCCTTGGGTTCCTAGTGGAACATAGGGCTTCAACTGCACGCCTCCACTTGCTTCTGTCTTGTGCTGTACTTTTCACTTGCATCCATGTTAATCCATACTGTTTCGGTTCCTCATCACACGATCTCCTCCATGTCACCCTTGGACGTCCCACTCGCCGCTTCCCTTTCGGGTTCCACTCGAGGGCCTGACGCACGATGTCACCCAGCGGCCTCTTCAGCGAGTGTTCAATCCATCTCCACTTTCTTCTGCATATTTGTTGGTCGATTGGTTCTTGTTTTGTTTGTTCCCATAGTTTCTTGTTGGTTCTTGTTCTTTCCGGCCATCTGATCTTGAGTATAGAGAGAAGACAGTTGTTGATAAAGGTCTGCAACAGGCTGTTGGAAATATTCTTTGTGACCCGCCAAGTTTCTGATCCGTATAGAAGAACTGACTGACTTGACGTTTGTATTGAAAATCGGAATTTCGTTGTTGATGCAGGCTGAGTGACGAAGATTTCCAGATTGGTTTCAGGTTGATGAATGTGTTTCTCGCCTTCCCGATTCTCGATTTGACATCCTCGTCCGTTCGACCAGTGTTAAAACATTAGATTATTGTATCCTGGTATATAAACCTGAAAAACAGTCTAAAATACCTCTAAATAAGCAATGAAGAGTGATAAGATAAGGAGAAAAGAATGATGACCTGAAGATAAAGGATATACTACGAATAATGTTCTACACTGACTGTTTTCTCTCTCTCTTTTTTGGTGACTATTAAGTTCTTATTAACGTTATTATTAGGATGACGTGTTGTTGTTGTTGTTTTAAGTGTTTAACAACCATTTAGACGAGTGTTTGGTAACAGACAAGGACAAACAAACATTTGTCCGGACACTGAATGTATTCGCTATCAGAAATAGTATGTATAGTTTGGTGCAGCGGGAACTAATATCCTCTTTGTTTTATTTTTTTGTGGTTATGTTTATGAGAATATTAGTCTTACAAGCCTATCCAAGAGACATTTTCACCAACTAAGCTAAGTGATATTATCTCCTGTAAATAGTTAATCAATATTTCCTAAGGATAAGTGAATGTAGACACTTGTCGACCTCTATAGCCTCAGCAGGGTTATTTTATAACTTTGATGGGGTTGCTAGTCGTATGCTCAACCATCCCTCTTTTCTGGGTTTACTTGCAGGCTAGTAAACAAGGCAAGGTTTAAAGGTGTGTCAGCCGGGAATCGAACCCGAACGACGTGTGTGTGTGTGGTTGGCGAGCATTCTACCATTGAACCACCAACTCTAGTACTTTGATGATATTAGGTAGTTGGAGGCAATCGGCAGGAAGCCTTGGACCTAGGTTTCGTGCTAGTTGGCACTCACCAGTTAGCAAGGCGTATCTGCAACCTTAAAGGAACTGATGTCCCTTCTGAGATTCGAACCCGCGTCACCCAGTGCTATAGTCAGAGACGTTACCACTAAGCTATTCGGGCTCGTGATCGACCTCCTGTAGGACTGTAGTGGGCATTTTCATTGGGCACTAGTAACTAGTGTGACGTGTCCGAACAGCTCAATAGTAACGTCTCTGTCTGCAGTACTGGGCGACGCGGGTTCGAATCTCAGAAGGGACATGAGTTCCTTCAAGGTTGCAGATACGCCTTGCTGACTGGTGAGTGCCAACTAGCACGAAACCTAGGTCCAAGGCTTCCTGTGGCCGATTGCCTCCAACTATCTAATATCATCAAATCAATGTGCACCGTGATGGTAGCCACATTGCAAACCTGACTGATAGAATTCAGTCTGCACCAAGGAAAGGACTACACATGTCACACTAGTTACTAGTGTCCAATGAAAATACTCTAGTACTTTATCTATTATCTTGAGAAAGAAAGATTTTATCAAATTATTTCTTTTGTAGGGAATTAAACGGAAATATGAAAACCTAATGTATTTCGAACTGGTCGATCATCCTGTAGACAATTTTGTTCTCGAATTATCAGATTTATCGGAGTTGGATAATTTTATAAAGTAAGTTTTAACTTTTGATGTGACATTTAAAACATGTCGTTGATAAATTTCATGTTAATTCAGGCATTAGATTTGTAAGGTTTGAATTGTCTTGAACGTCGTAGGTTTCTTAATCAGCCAATATTGACTAAAACACCCGTTCCACTTAACTTTGGGACGCTTTAAAGTTGTATGCTCATAACCCTGTGAAACACTGAACTTTCAGAACATTCGAACGATCTGTGATTTCTAACTTTATTATTCCTGTAACTGATATCTTTCCTGACGAAGTCTATGTGCGTCGGTGACACAGAGGTCAGAACGCTAGCCGACCATGCACGTGATCTGGGGTTCGATCGCCTGCAGACGTACACTTGATATCAATAGTCGACCCGGCCTGCAAAGTTTGGGCTACCGATATCACATGCTGAAAATTCCATACTTGTACCAATAATACGGTGTGGAATCAAACTGTAATCAAAATAAAATTAAAATAAAATCTTAAGATTAGTTGTTAGCTTATTACTGTGTTTACACGTAAATTACTGTTGAACCGCTTTCCTAGATCCCCTGCATTTTGATTCATTATGACAGCAAGTACGTGTTATAATAGTATTATACTTGATTATTGTCGTTTGCCGCAAACTATTTTGCTTAGTCCTTTTGTATGCATGCGAGACTTGGGAATTATGGTAATATGTAATTTCATGTGGACATTTGACTCGTTCACTTTAGTCTTAACCTTCACCAAATAGACTTTAGGTTTAAACCTCACTGCACCTACGTCAGCCTGCTCTAGTCCCTACATACAACTAAGATAACTCTTAACCTTGTATGTGAAAGATCTAACCCCAGCAATTGTATTTTGACTAACTAACAGCAGTTTGTTTATTGGACATATCACACATTGAGATGAAATTTCAAAATTTGTGAGGTTATATTTAACGTGAATATGAACAGTAATTTATGCTAGGGACGCTATCCACTAAATCATACAGCTTCAACATGTAGTATATCCAATAAACAAACTAATATGGAACAGCTCTTCCATAGGTTATCATTTTTACATATATTTCATTGTTTGAGTTTCGGGGGAATGTCTGTAGTATTCTACTCTTTATTTATCCCACTGAACAGAGCATTAAACAATAGTGTTCCTACAAACTTTCCGTCATATAATATGAATAAGGCATTTAGAAGATAAATTTCGCGAGATGATATCATTTCGTAGTTTCTCTATGATCGCTTTACACCTAGCATGGTTCGCAATAATAAAAAAATGCATGACAATTATTATGCTTCATAAAACAAAAGTACATACTAATGACCAATCATATTTAAATAGGTCAAATATGCTTGCCATGGTGGGCGAAGGTTGAAGTCTATTATTTTTTGCGCACATAGTTTAAGATGTATATGATCAATCCAAAGTGCTTCAATCACCTTCAATAACCTTGAATTAGAGTTATGTGGAATAATTGTGAAGCAGTCATTCATATTGATTTTGTGACCTGACCTTAATAAGTGCTTTGGAATGAATGATAATGGATTTCTATTCAGATTAACTGCATTGGGATTTTCTACATGTCTTTTCGACAACATTGAAACATTTTATTGGTTCTACCTACATAGGTGTCACCGCAGCTGCAGCTGAACTTGTAGATACAGTTTGAAGTAGAGTCCACAGTATTTCGTCCTTTAAGTACCGGGATGGAAAATGTTCGAGATGTGAAGGAAAGAGGTGCGGCGTAGAATGTGCGTTTGATGGCTGACCGAAGTCTTTGAGCTATCCATTGCACAATTTGATCACCCTTGAATGATAGGTTAAAATAAAGATAGCTTTCTTTGGCATAGAAGCTGTCTTTTCAAGATGTGGTCTATCCTTAGTGCCACAACTGATAAAGCTTTCTGGATAACCATTAGCTGATAAAACTGAATGAGGCAAGAGTAAACAATAAACACCAAAGTTAAATGACCTTGATTTGACCAATCAGATAGCTCAGCATTACAAATGGTTCCTAGTCATAATCCTCGTTGAAAGTGTCTCTGTAGATGATGTTGTTGATAGGGAGGAATAAAACATGCATGTGTGGAGGGTTAATAACTCTGGAAAAGTATTGCCGGGCTATTGATGGTTATACATTCAGATGCAACCACTTTATGCGAGGAAATCTTACAAGCTGGTAAGTCATACATAATTGGTGATTTCTCTAGACACTTTCTTCTCGAAATCAAAGCTCTCCCTTAGTAATATATTACGTATATGCAACCAGTAGTATATGCTACAGCTGGAGAAATAGAGAATACATTGGTTTGATATGTCTATAACCACCTCTATGAGAATATGGGACCAGTTTTCGCAGCATATTAGAGATATTATATCTTATATAATTCATTTTTATTACATATATCGTAGATGCACTTCTTTGTAAATTAAGTACCACTTTTCACCTCGAAGAATCTGATTGGCTGTTTCAAGGTCGTCTGAAGTTGGTGTCTATTCTTCACTGTTGCCCTGAATGAATATGTCATCCATCAATGTTTCGCTCGTAAATATTTTGCGGGCCTTTGAAAACAAACGTTATATAATACTAAAAGCTTTATAAAAGTAATTATAAGCCTGAAATCCGCTACATCAATAGTCTATATATAAAGTAGCTTAGTGAATGATCTTCCCTACATTATCAGTGACTTGAAAACATCAAAAAGTGTTTGTATATGAACATGTGAATTAATCATCAGATTGTGGGAACTATTTTAACTGTTTAGTCTCGTGTGTGTGTGTGTGTGTGTGTGTGGATCGAGATCTCTACAAACTATCATTTGAAAATCAAATCTATGCCTAGATTATTCTAATGGAAAATTCAATTTTCTCACAGTCCAACAACCTAGTTTTAGGATAAATCAAATCAATACACAATAATAACATTATTATTACTTTTTAATTAATTTCTCTATTTTCTCATCCATATCACGAAATATGAAGCATAAACAAATGGAACTGCAGCGATTTGGTGTTTTTTAGAAATTCCCTTCAATTAGTAGTCGACTGTACTTTATTCACCATTTTGTGTACTTTTATTGGGTTAAACGATAACATTGAATATAGGTTGTATATGTAAATAGATTTGATTAGCAAAAAAAGAAGGTAACTGCTTAGGCATGCTAATCAGTTGATGAGAATATCTATCTATCTATCTTCCATGCGTTTATCACTCCTTTTTAACAAATAGCATACACTGAGAGTATTACCCTAATGTTCCCTAGTTTATTATTAAACTGTATGCAAATTACACTGTTTTAACCAGCTCTGTTCGTATATGGGTAGTGTTTCCACGGAGCTCCTGAATAACATCAAACCAACTAATTATTCGTCTTATTATTATTGTTCCCTTGGGTTCCAAGTGGAACATTTTTATTTTTGATTATAGCTTGATTCCACACCGTATTTTTGGTACAAGTATGGAATTTTCAGCATGTGATACCGGAATCCCAAACTTTGCAGGCCAACCATTGATATCCAGTGTGTGTCGGCAGGGGATCGAACCCCGAAGCATGTGCATGTTCGGCGAGCGTCCTACCCTCTGTGCCACCGATGCTTCAACAACACATCTCCTTTGTCGTCTATTTTCTGCTGTCCTCTTTAACCGAGCCCAAGATTGACCATAGTCTCTCATCTCCTCCTCGCACGACCTCCTGCATGTCACCCTAAGATGACCCACTCGTCTCTTCCCATTCGTGTTCCACTCGAGGTTCTGACATGCGCTGTCATTCGATGGCCTTCTCAACGTATGCCTGATCCATCTCCATTTTCTTCGACATATATGTTGATCGATAGGCTCTTGGTTGCTTTGTTTCCAGCCAGAGTTTCTTGTTACTAATTCTTTCTGGCCACTTGATGGAGCCGGCGAAGGCGGCTATTGATAAAAGTCTGCGACAGGCGGTTGGAAATGCTTTTCGTGACACGCTGGCCAAGTTTCTGACCCATATAGAAGAACTGACTGACTTAACATTGATGTTGAAAATCCGGATCTTGTTCTTGATGCTGAGGAGTGCAGAAGATTCCCAAACCGATTTCTGATTCATGAAGGTGTGTCTTGCGTTTCCGATTTTAGGTTTCACATCTTCATCTGTTTCACCTGTGGTTGAAACAATGCTTCCTAGGTAAGTGAAGTATGTAACTTCTTTGAGATTTCTCTCGTTGATGTACACATTCTGGGCTACATGTGTTATTATTCAAAAATATAATCTCATTTTTTTGTCATAGTCTCAGATTTGCTGATAACTGACACCATTAGAAGTAAATTTAAGCAGTTAATTTTTCCATTAATTTATTCCATCCTTGTATGTTCATATCGTTTGCCCTTAGAATAAATTTGTAACAAACTAAAAGTAGGTCGGAAAATACTTTTTTTTCAAAATTCATTGTCAAGAAAATTTATATACATTAGTCGGCTATTTCCTGTGTGGGTATCATGTAAAATACATACTGCGTTTAATGTCACGTGAAGAATGACATTTTATTTATCAAATGTATATTTCACTGGTTTTCTTAACTGTTGGAAATAGTAAACTGGTGCGTCACGTGAATGCATGTTATATTAAGTAAATTGGAAGGTCTAGCTGTTGTAGAGTAATTAAAGTTGAAAAAACAAACAAGGATGCCTAGCCATAATTAAGGGATGTTTGTTTTTATTTTCTTGCTTTAATCTTTTACTTGCGGGTTACGGTGTAGTTACTTCTCAGAAGATTTTATTCTAGACTGAGTTTTATTGATTGCTGTTCGTATTTCAACATTCCCATGTAAGTGTTAGCAAACAGTGTTCGTTTGGAGTCAATTGGTGGATGGTGACTAGCAGTGAAATCTAGGGTGCGCATTTCGTCCTATTCAAGACTCGCCAGATGGATATACCTGCACTCCCCAGTGAGTGACAGTGTTCCTACCTAGGCTCGAACACAGTGCTCATATTTCAAACGCCAAAACGTTATCCACTTGTGCCACGAGAGCCACTTCTTGTGTA